CCCCTGCTCCCAGCAGGAAAGCCAGGGCTCCCAGAACCCACCCAGGGCAGGAGAGGGCAGGGAGTTGGGGAGGTGCCCACCAAGCTAGCCATCAGCCCAGCTTCCCCTCCACAGCTTAGTGGCTCCGCTGCTCCCTGGGGCGCCGAGCACTTTCCAAGCACAGGACAGCATTGCCTGCGATCTCTATACCGGCTCCTCGCGCTCCTTTGAGCTTGTCACCAGCGCCCCCTTACACCCATGCTCAGTGTCCTTCCTGTGAACCTCCCCCTTTTTCATTCTGTCGCAGCTAGAGAGGGGCCTGCACTGGAAAGCGGAGAAGAAGGAGGCGGAATGGGAAAAGCATTCTCACCACCCTACTGCCCTCTCATGGACTCAGAGCACAGTGACTGCTGCCGGGACGCAGGGCAGGGAGAATGAACACAGAAGGAGCAGGGGCAAAGGATCCCAAGACTAGCAGCTGGGAGAAAAGCCCATTTTCTGTCTGTCCTGAAATGCCCACTCATCCCACCAAGAACCTACACACACACACACACACACACACACACACACACACACACACACACGAGAAGCTCTAGCTGCCAGCCCAAGGTCAGAGCACAGGAAGTCAACACTCCATGTGTCAAAAAGCACTGAGCCCGCTGGGGTGCTAGAGACTGGGAGGTGTACCTCACACCTCCTGCTGCAGCCATTTCCTGCCCCATCACACTGGGGTGGCTATTTATAGTGGAGGGGTGACAGAAACGCTCTCCCACTCCCACCGAGAAGCAGAGATGCACTGGGAGGAAAGCTCTGGGAAACCCAGCACATGTTGAAGCAGAAAGGCCCTTGGTTTGTTGGCACTTACAATTGGTCCAAAGTAAAAGTTAGCGAGCCCCAAAGACGAGCACAGCCATGCTCAGTCCACACAGGACTGCAGCCCACTTGGGAGAACAGGGGCCGGGAAGAGGACAGCACACAGCACCCTGCCGGGGAGTCCTCCCTGCCCCAGCAGGGCTCCTCTATTCATGCATTCACCCACTCAGTCACTCACTTATTCATGCCCTCACTGTGCAGCAAAGCTTACCCTATGCGCTTCCTGTGTGCCAGGCGCTGGACCAAGGGCTGGACACGCAGACCCGAGGATGGCCGAATTCCCACCCCGGCTCACTCAGCCTCGGAGAGACTATCCTTCTGTTCTACTCGTGCATGGCCACCCTCTGGCCTCCAAACCTAAGCCTCTCCTTTGCCTCCAGCAGGTCTCAACAGCAGATGACAAGAAGCTTGATTTCAGATTTCGGAGAAGCGAACAGACTGAAGACTTTGGCTACAACGCAAACGGCCCGGCCCCACTCAGAAAAGGCCAGCAACCCATGCTGGGTCTCTTTCCCCACAGCTTCCAGACTAAAAGGCCAGGAAGAAAGGACTGGAAATCTACTTATGGAAACTCTCCACTGACAGTCCTCTGTTTCACAGGCATTCTGTCTCTGGAGTGCTGAAAGACGATCTCCCCCACGCCAGCCCCCGGGGGTTGGAAGGCCCTGGTAAGGTGAAGAGGGTGCCCAGCAACGCAAGGCTTCGCTCCTTAGACCAGGGAAGAATGCCATTCCCTCTCCATTCCACTTTCCACAAGCTTTTTGAAACCCCTCATCTATGGGAGAGCCATATGTCAAAGCGGCTCAGTGGCGACTCACAAGCGTAAGATAACAAAGACTTTGTATGTGTATATGCTGACATCGAGGGAGCGACAGATCTGCATACAGGTATATCCGATAGGTCACAACCAAAAATGTTGTGACAATCTGAGGTCATGGGCAAAGTCTAACTACAAAAAGGGGCTACCCAGTGGTGAGAGCTGGGTCCCAACGGAAGGCCCACCCACATCTCCAATCGCCAGGTCCAAAGCAGAGCCCATCAGTCGGTGCCTGCAACCTCTGCTGGCCCGAGATGCTGACCTGGCTTCTCCAGGGGAGGTGACGACCGAGGAACGGAAGTCAGTGTTCTACAAACTGCTTTGGTGAGTAGTGACTGGGACCTTGAAAGCCAATGAGTGGGCGTCTCGGGTGCAACTATCGATCTCTCCCTGTCCAGAGGAAAGCAGACGGTACATGGAGACAATGAGTACAACAGACAATGCCCCGTCGTCTCCACAACTGAGACCAGAACATATGGTGCCGGCCACCACAACCAACTGCTCGGCCAGGGGTCTCTTTCACAGGTCCTGGAGAGAGTGGGGGGAAACGGGGAGCAGAACTCACAGTCCTAAAAAAAAGGCCAGGCTTACCGGTCTGAGAGAGAGACTGGTGGAAACCCCGAGACTACGGCCCTCAGCCACCCTTCAGGCCCAGACACGCACTCACTCTCAAGACTCAATGTTCACCTACACAAGACACAGGTTTATAAGAGGAAAGAGATCAGTGAGGTGTGCACACCCTAGAACAATCAATCACTTGAGATCAAAAGGGCAGCAGTGACCAGAGGACAAGTTCAGAAATGTTAGGAAAGAAGGAAGGCTGAGGGGAAAGTGCCGTTTCATTGCAATCAATGACATGAAACGAAACATGCGTGGCCGTTGAGTGGAAAACTGATGAGCTCCGTACGCCTTCGCCCAACTCGGAAGCTGACTGTGGTGAGGCTGCGAGGTTCTACTCAATAAGACTGAGCTGTCGACGCGTGTGCTCTATGAATTGTACACCAATGGAACTATGTCTTACGTTAGCAGTATAAAGAGTCAGGAATAGAACATAACTGCGGGAAACATGACGGGACTCTATTCCCTAACGGATAGCAGAGGGAATCTGGAAAGCTAGTATTCCCCGTAGGAAAGCCACCACTTTGCTAAGTCAGAGATGAAGTCCAAGTACATTATCCTGCCTTAAATATCATTCCCACAGGTTCTCCCCTAACAGCTATGCTGCTTTAAAGTGGTTGATTTCACCTCCCTGCAGAAGCAGACATCCTGTTGCTATCTCTTCCACCGTGTCACCCAGCCCCTTCATACCTTCCCCTAAAGCAGGTATTCGGCTTCCTCACCTGTGAGCTCAGGGACTTTACTGTGATTACCACCCACCTTGTGACTTACGTAACTCCTGAATATGCACGTCTTATGGCTACATAAATGCCCCAAGATAGTAAAGACTCCCTCCCTCTTCTCCCACCTCACGTGGACCACCAAGAGGAGCTGGGACGAGCATGCTACCATAAAATGTATCTGACTCCGACATGTCCCTCTCTCTCCTATCTTCGATGACTTTGCTAAGATCTTTATGCACTGTAACCGTACAATTGCCCCTGTGAACCTGTCAGTTGTCAGAGGCTGGTTTATTCTGCCACTTAACAAGGGATGGGATAATAAGAAACATTCATTAGGAGGCTAATTTATCTGTGACACTTGTGTTTTACTTAGCAGTTTTGTGAACATTCCAATACAGTAAAGTGTGAGCAATTTGCTTGATTCGGACGTGTTTAAACTATTTGATATAGCAAACTTGTAAAATACCTAATTGATTAATCCTACGATCAATATTTAAAAGTCTGGAGAAATCTAAATCTAACTTGCTGACTTTATGATTTATTGTTTATTTAAGTATTGGGGGAATATTTAGAGAAGTATTCATTGCTTAAAAATGAATAAACTGGGCGCCAGGCAAAGCACCCAGAGCAGGAGGCATCCTTCCCAAGTACAGAAGCACCTTGGGAGTTTCTAGGGACCGACCGCGACACGGTGAGTTTGGGGGTCTATGTGCTACGCGGAGCATTCTGGTGAACGACAGACTTGGGGAAGGAAATTAGAATCAGTAGGACTACGTGCAAGGATGTTCTGGAAGTCATTCGTATCCATATTTGGCATCTGCCAGACCTCGTGTCTGTGTTCAAGCTGCTCACTTGCCTGAAACATCCCTTTACCTCCCTGGGTCTAACATGTACCCAACTCACTAATAACGTACCTACTTGTCAAGACCCGAGTCAAATGACATCTCTTCCACCAATGTCTCTAGTCAAGCAAGGTCTTCCTCCTCAGAACCTCCTGGACCAGTGCTCCTGGGCTTTTACACTCACGGCTCTGCGTGTCATTCCTGAGGATCCATCCATTCAGTCAGCATTTACTGAGCACCCACTATGACCTACTAAGCCCCGAAGAGCTAGTGTGCTTCCTCTCTCCCCGGCTGCCTCTCGCCTCCTTGGAGACAGCCCAGGCAGACCCGTGCGTTACTAAAATGCACATATCCACAGAGCTTGGAGCAGTGCCTGGGTACAGAGCCAGCCTTTTAACAAACGCCAAGACGCTGAATGGTGCTGCACCTCTGTTCAGAACTAAGGCCTGTGTGATGGACGTGTAATCAAATTCAAACTTCTCAGCCTGGCACTCAAGGTCCTCCATGACCCAGTGCCAAACTGCCTTCAAAGTCTTCTCTCTCTCGTCTCTCCCACATGTGCCCTGAACTCCAGGGGAAGGAGACGCCGCGTCTTCCCCACAACTCACCTGGCACCAACTGCCCTCTCTCCCTCTCATCTCTCGTCTCTCCCACATGTGCCCTGAACTCCAGGGGAAAGAGACGCCGCGTCTTCCCCACAACTCACCTGGCACCAACTGCCCTCTCTCCCTCTCATCTCTCGTCTTTCCCATTATCCCTCCTGGATCAGCTCAGGTGTCAGCTTCTCCGCCACACCTTCCGTGGTCACCCCAAATGGGCAGCAGCCCTTGAGTTCTCCCCTCGCACACTGCTTAGGGGGCCCGATCATATTCTGCCCTGTGTTCACTTACTCCTCTCTTCTCTGAGACTCTGGGGTCTTCGAGGGCAGCAAACCGTAGCTCATGCATGTCTGGCTGACCCCCAGCACCTAGAAGGGTGCTCATTGTGCTCCTTTGACAAGTAAACAGATTCTTTCCCCCTCTTGTCCTTTTCCAAGTCCCAGGAATCCAACCTGGGCAGGTCTGAGCTGAAATGGTTCTCTTCCCAAACAGGCACCCCACAAAGTCTCAGCCTTAATCAAGAGGGGACGCGCCAGTCTGGGGCTCTTACCTCATACTCAAAGTCGCCGCCCAACGCCCCAATGTCCAGGTGCAGGTTCTTAAGCAGCTCACTGGAGCTGTGGAGACTCTGAAAGCAAGTAATGGTGCAGGGTCAGCATGAGCAAGTGCCATCCCAGGGCGCCAGGCATGCGGGATGCTGTTGAACAGGAGGCGGGCCTAGCGCGGGCATCAGGGCCCTCCCAGCAGGGCCTCGCCAGACACAGGCTCCCACGACAGTCCTTGACCAGGTGAGGCCAAAGAGCCCCTGTCTGACTATGGTCCTGCTTTGTGGGCTGGACCTCGGAGACACAGCTGGGTCAAGAAAAGAAGGGGTGCCCGCCAAATCACTTCTAGCTGCTTTTGAAGTGGCACAGGGGGTCTCCAAGCCAGGGGAGGACTTCACACCGTCACCTGGTTGTCACTGTCCTCCTCGTTGGCCTCCTCCCCTACAGCCAAGAGGTTGAGGCTGTTCTTATCCTCATGAATGGACTCCAAGAGACCCTTTGGAACCGTAGGCATCTTGAGACCCTGCAGAGGCTCGGAAAAAAAAAGAGCAAAGTCAAGGGACCCCTCAGGAAGATTCTAGGAACCATACACGGCTTGCCCCACTGTCTGCCTACATTCTGCTAAAACGCGTCCTACTGCGCCCACGAAGCTGCCTCTACCCACGCCCAGCCACGCGGAGCCCTCTCTTCTCTGGTCCTGCTGCCCTGGCTGCGTGGACTAAGAATGCGAGAGTAGCATGGACATCTATGATCTGGCTCAACTCTGAACACACACACACACACACACACACCCCGCGGGGTCCACCTTCAGCATCATACACGATGAGGAATCTCCCCAACAAAGATGGGGCTGCGAGCTCTGAGCACTCCACCGTGCTGTTGCTGGTCCGCAGGCCACGACTGTTGGGCTGGGGCTCCACAGGGCCTGCAGTCACTAAACACGCCGAGGCCGGGGGACAGTACTTACCAGCGGGACATCTCCGAGCAGACTGGACTCCATCGAGCTGCCCAGGTTCGCACGTGGAGAGCCACGAAGAGCAGGGGGTGGGGCATCCAGCAGGCCTCGTAATGGAGCCAGGCCCCCGAGAGGTATGTGGACTGGAGCCAGCGAGGACCCCAAGGCCTGGGCAACAGAAAACCTCTGGTCACACACACCCCCCCACCCCCCCACCCCCGGAAACAGCGTGCTCTGGGAGATGACACAAAAATAAAACTTCCAAATCTCGCCCGCTCCAAGTGAAACCACCTCCGCTCAGAGGCTGCTGATGAAACACAACATCCCAAAATTACCGTGGCGTCAAGTGGGTGAGAAGTCACAGGCTGGTCTCCTGCTTCTCCTAGCCCCATGGCAGACGCTGCTCACGGTGGGGTCGGGCCCTGCCCCTCCACCACCTGCCCTCGCCTCCCCACTCCGAGCCAGACGGGAAGCGTGGGGAAGGGGGAAGCAGAAACAAAATCCTCAGAGGCCATCGTGTAAAAGCCTCTGCAGATCAAGTCCGAAGGCCATGAATCCAGAAAGAGCCAGCAAAGTATACTCTCCAGAGTGGAAAGGAACCCCAGAGGTGGGTGATTGTCTCGGGAGCGGGGCACGCGCCACAGAACTGCTACATCATCCTGCTCGATGCCCACTGGTACGAGTTGGTACCATGTGATTTTATTTTTTTAACTGTGGGCAGGTATCACCTTGTGAGAAATAAACAAAAGCCCTCTCTCTTCCCTCTACACCGAGAGGGGCTGTTGGAAGAGACCTCGCAGAGACAAGAAAGGAGCATCAGTCCCGGCTCTGCCCTCAGGCGGGCGGATAAGGACGGCATGCCGGCAGGGGCTGGGCAAGAGCCTGGGTCTGCGAGGCAATGGGCCGCTCGGAGACTCACTGACAGATCCGGCTGTTTGTGCATCTGCGGGAGGGGGAGGACACATACCCGGCTGCCTAAGAAGGTCCCCTGAGAAGTTCAAGTGAGACAACGAGGTGAAGGAGTTGTGTGCATGGTCCAGGGCGACTGCAGAGTTAGGGAACTGTCATTCTTAGAGGGGCTTCCACGACAACAATTTGGGCTTATTGGAGGTAGAGGCAGGGATCACATTCTGATAGAAAGAGCCCTTTGCAATTAGAACTGAAAACATATAAATGCCAAATGCCAAAGGGGGAGGTAAGCAGAGGGAACCGAGGGGGAGTCAGGCTGAAAAAGTGCAGTGGGTCCGTCGAGTCACCCACAGCCTCATCTGAGAGGCAGACTGCCTGGTGACTGCCCTCAGGGCCTGTTTCTGCCTGGGGAGGGCATCAGGTGGTCATCGGAGAGATGACAGGAGAAGCCCTCTCTGAGCCCGAGTAGGTTCAGGGTCACCTGAGCTGGTCACGTATCATAGGTGGGAGCAAAGGAGCCGACAACAACAGAACTGGCCAACGAGACCCGAGCACCAGGCACTGGGCTGAGGACCTCTCTCCACCACCTGAAGCAGGCTGGACTTCTAGCCATGGTCCCCCGTGCACAAACCAGAGGTGGGTAAGGAGCCTACCCCAAGCCACAGGGACAGCCAGGGCAGAGAGGCACTGGGGACCAGGTCTACCTCCAAGCCCCTATTTTACACTTTCTCCTAGATGTTGGGGGAAGGCAGGTGGGGGGGGGGGGAGGCTCGAGAATCAGGGGAGCCTGTCTGAGGTGAACTCTGAGCAACCAAGGCCTGCACCTCCCAGCTTCAGCCCTCCCAACTAGCCCTGGGTATCAGCAAGCATGATTCTCCCCCACTGTACTTAGAGAAAATTAGAGACTCCTGACATGGCTAATTTGCTAACGTGCTGGGGGGCTGAGGGAGGGAGACAGGCACGCTGAGGGCTTTGTTCTCCAGGCCCTTAGCCAATCAGTGGTTAGCAGGGAAATTATACATCCCTGGCTCCTAGCTGTTCCTCTTCTATAGATGGCCATTAGCTCCAAGTGTAAGGCTGGGCCAGGCCGTTGTCCTTCGGAGCAGATAAACTTGCTGCCCCCTTGGGCTAATTAAAACTTGCAGGGTAATCTGTGGCTTATCTGATATTTATAGTGCCACAGTAGTTATTAGAGCTAGTGGAGAAACAGGGCACACCGGCAATTGGGCACCAGGGTTAACAACTGGGTAAAAGCCACAGCTGGGCAGTAGCAAAAGAATCGGCAGGAAGTTAAGACGAGGAGACAAGCCTTCCCTTCCCCGTGGTTTCCAATCCAACCTGCTTTCTTCCGAATGAAGACTATGGTGTGACACTTTAAGGGGATGAAGGGTCAGAATGACAGGGTTAGCCCAGCCCACTGGGGATCCCAGTGGGGAAGGAAGTAACGCCACAGATGGGTGACAGGTTTTTCCATGGGGTTTCCTGGGGACCCTAGGAGGCCAGGCCGCTCACCAATGACAGCAAGGTGCTCGGCTCGGTGGGCTCCCACCCTGGTGAGGCCATGAACTCTCCTGCTGTCAGGGGCTCAGATGAAGGACTGCGTGTGGAGCTTGGGGTAGGGGTCTCCTTGATAGGAGCTACTGGAAAAGGCTCCCCAGACCCCAGGACAGCACCTGCGTCCTGCAGGAGAGCCAGGGTCCACACCACCTTCCCAAAGTCAACTGCCCGTGAAGGACAGCTCAGTGCAGCAAAGAGAGGTCATAGGTGCCCTTAGGAACGAGGTGGAAGAAACCAGAATCCACACCAGGGCCACACTGGGAGTCAAGGGCTCTCTCTTCACCAGTGGGGGGCGGGGGGGAGCTGCAGGAGTGCAGACCCTACCGGCTGTGTTAGCACAGAAGCGCCACCAGCCCCCTCGGAGGCCATTTGGCCGTGCCCGCCATGAAGCGTACCTGGTTGAGAAGCTGTATCTTGTCTGGCTCTGCAGCCAGCCCTCTGCTGGAGCTCGGCTCAGTCAACCCCTGCCTGGGGGGGCTGCTGCTGGACTGGACGCCGGCTGGCTGAGAGACCTCCTCAGCAGGGGCAAGGGCCATGTCCTGAAGCTGCTGCTGCAGCCCCTGCCCCCACGCTGAAAGCCACGCATCCCTCTCCAGGGCTCTGATGACCTCCTGCTCCCCCTCACTAGACATCCTGGAAGACTCGGCTGCTATGCAAGAGAACATGCTGGCCACGTCTTTGCACGGCATTTCCTGCATGCTCTTGGGCAGCCCCAGGCCCTGCAGCCGCCTGGAGATCTTGACTATCTGTAGGATGTGCTGGTAGAACCTCTGGTCCTCCGAGTAGTCTTCACTCTCCGACTGCTCGTCTGCAGAGCTCTGGACGGGGGGCATCTGGGGCTCTAGGAAGGGGCTGGCATGTTGCACTCTGAGCCCAAGCCCTACCTGATCTGCTCCTGGCTCAGAAGCCCCGGAGCTCTGCGGGTCCCAAGGGAAGTTGTTCACCTCACCCAGGACCTGAGAGCCAACCTGGGAGGCTAGGCTGCTGTTGCTCCTGCTCTCTGGGTCAGGCTCAGAGCCACTAGGCTTCTGATCTACATCGGGGGGCTCTGGAGAGCCCGGGGTGGGTCTCTTCTCACTGTCAGGCAGGACAGCAGGGGCACCCTCTGAAGGGGCATTCTCAGCTGGTATCAAAACGTGTCCCAAAGGGGCATCCTGGGCTGAGGCTCCTAGAGCCTTGGGGCCCCAGGGCTCTGTTTCCCTGGTGGTCCCCGGGGTGTCCTTATTGACAAGCTTGGAGACCTGTCCCATCCACAATCCTGGGAGCTCTCTCCTCCTCCTCCCCCTGCCCATGCCCTCACTTTCCTCAAGGACACCCTGCCAACTCAGGTCTTCCCCTGGGCTGCTGCTACGCCCTAACAGAAGCTTGCTCTTCCGGTCGGGCAGTATGTGGTCAGAGGAGCCAGGGGACAGGGAGGGTTCCTCCCCGGGACACGGCAGCGAGACAGGGCTCCGGGCCTCATCCCCACGGGGGCCTGTGGAGCTCAGCGTGGCTCCGTTGTGGTTGGGCTGCTCCCCTCTCAGCTTCAGGCTCGTGCTGGTTTCGGGAAGCTTTGGGTGACTGGAAGCCTGGCTCCTGCTCTCCGCCACCTTCCGCCCACTCGGGGGAGGCTCGGTGTCCCCGGGGCCTGCAGCGCTGGGCTTCTGCTGCCTGGTCCTCAAGTCCAGCTCCTCTGTTTCCGGGTCTGAGAACCCCAGGTAGATTTTCTCTGTCAGCTTGTGGGGTTTCCCCAGGCCCGGCTGATACCCTGACTCTGTCCTGCATTGGGCTGGGGCCCTGCCTAAGATTTTCTCCACGTCCGCAAAGATCTGGTGAGGTCGTGAAGCTTGGCCTTTGGGCAGTGGCTGCAGCTTGCTGGGCAGAGTGCTCATGAGAGGCCAGGGTGGGTCACCCAGCAGGCCTGGGCTCTTCCCTTTCCTAAAAGCACCCTCGTTTCTAGCCTGCAGCTCTGGGTCTAGGTCCAAACCAGCAAGCCCAGGTGCCGGGAGAGGGGACGGGCCTCGGAGGAAGGAGGCAGAAGGCAGAAGTCCCTGCTCAGGCTCCTAGATGGGCACAGAAACATGCAGAGAAAACGAAGACAGAGTGTGTCTGACTTACACGTGCTACCTCAGCCCCCGGCAGAAGCCCACCCTCTGTTTAAAGGAAAGCACGGGCCACCGAGGGAAGAGAAGTCCCCGAGGTTGACAACGCGAGGGGGGGCTTCAACAAGCTCGTGGGGGAAATTCCATTACCTCTTCTTTCTGTGTTTCCTCAAACTTCTTGAGGCCCCCTCCCGCGCTGTTTCCTGGGCCCCAGTTTTCTGATTTACAAAGAGGAGCCCGGACCATATTAACTGTTTGCAAATCTCAATCCATAGACCCTGAGGAGGGCGGTACCTCTGGGACCACTGTCTCGTGCATGTGTGCATGTGCGTGCATTCGTGTGCGTATGTGTGTGTGTGTGTGTGTGTGTACGCATGTGCGTGCATTCATGCGCGTGTGTGCGCGTGTGTGCGCGCGTGTGGGTGCGTGCGTGCGAGGGAGGGGGACAGCCAAGACCCACCCACCCCCAACTTCAGTCAGAGCAACTCTGCTTCTCTTGGTTGCAGTGAACTTCTTTGGAGGAAGCAATTTGCAATCAGAGCTTTACTACGCTGCGGGGTTGAAATGATCCATGGATTATCCCCAGGGTAAAATCGCCAACTACCTTGCCCTGGAGGTACCAGTTAGTGACCAGGCACTGTGACTGGTCAGTTTTATAACACACACACACACACACACACACCCTCCCCCGAGCTTACCCAGGACTACGAGAAATGTCCAAAGAAGGGAGAAGAGAGGAAAGGAAAAAACAGTGTCCTGAGCCTTGGGAATGGCTAGCTAGAGCCTCCACCAAAGCGGGCAGTCGGTCCTGCTGGGTGAGGTCTGCACACTTGAAAATCTCAGCACTAGTGGAGACCCTCAAAAAGCAACCACCCTCTGCAAACAGCCCCACTCCCCACCACCCAGCCTGGGAGTGCGCACTGCCAGAGGACCAGGCCGCCTGAGTCCAGCACACGTACTTGCCTGAGTCTCTCACCCCTGGACAAAGGCCCAAGAACCAGATAGGCAATCCAACTGTCCTCTCCTCCAGAAACCAGAGAAGGAGCCCTTTCTAACTGGGCAGTCCATGAGCACTGCCACACATCTAGAGCTCGGTCAGCGCCCACCCGCCCACCTCAGTCCCCTCACTGCACTCCCTCTGCCCACCTTTGGTCAGCCTGCCCAAGCGCCAGGTTATGGTGTCCAATAGTGAAAAGCCATCACCCACCTTTCGCCTTTCAAACACATTTGACTATTAGATCATTCAACCTATTTAGAAACCACTTGCCCTCCTTTCTCCAGCTAGAAGAGTAGGCTTGTGAACTTGTAGCTCAGAACCATGAACTGGGGGGGGGGGGCCTGCAGGGAAGGAGGAGGAAGTCTCCGCAGAGCCTGGAAAGGATAGAACTCAGAATAAATCCATCGTCAGGCGTTCAAAGCCAGCACGGAGCCCTGGGAAGGAAGATGGGGCCTATCTCCACTGAGAAGTACACAGCAGTCTCTGGTGGGAAGCAAGACCATGAGCAAAAGGGAGAACCGCTGGGCTACTGGAAGGGCAGGCAGGACCCCCAACGCTCCCCACCGGAGCGCCATACCGCACCTTCTCTCCTCACGGTGCCCCACCTGCCCACACCTGGGTGAAAAGGAACACCTGAGAGTCCCTGTGCTGCCGCCAGGTGCCGGGGGCAGCCTCCATCCAGCAAGGCTCCCAGCCTCAGCTTCTCTTCCTTCTCCCCCTAGGACCGGAGGTTCCGAACTGGGCCTTCTAGGTCCCGGCCCACGTGGGGGTGGGGGGGGGGGAACAGAGTGGGAAAGAGCACTTTGATCTCTGAGTGGAAAAGCCACCTGACCACACGGAGTTAGTTCGGGCCCCGCAGATGAAGACTGCACTCCATGGGGGGAGCGGGGTGACAATGAGAGGGAGGAGAGCTGGTCTCTGGTGGACCCCATGGAGTGGAGCCTGCCTAACTTGGCACCCCGTTAGGGGACGGAGCAATAAAAGTCTGTCTTCTGTAAGACACTAGGAAAAACGCTACTGGAACCCAGGCTGTCACGTTACAATCAGGTGTCAATTTCCCAACGTGTACCAAGCCACTGGCAACACAGACCACCCACAGGAGCAGGCAGAGCCCCCAGCCTAACGTTTGGGATCTTGAAGGCACTGGTGTTCTGACGACTGAACTGTGGCTACACCTGACACCTAGGAATTCGCACGGTTGGAGGACAGATCATGAGTCCACAGTAGGAAGACCCTCTGCGTATCCAGGCCCACCAGCCTCCGCGTGGCATCACTTCTCAGACTACTACTGCAAAATGCCATCCTCGGCAGAGCTCTCGCCCTCTCTCTAACCCTGCAACCGATCATGTGCTTCCCAAGGCCAAGAAGAGACAGAGACAGAGACAGAGAAAATTTGTTTAAAGAGGCTAACTTCTAGAAGCTAAAAGGAAATGCTGCCAGGTGGTAGGCACAATTTAGATGATGCACCAAAAAGGATGTAGGACATTGTTCGATTTTAATCTCTCGGTCCAGCTACAGACATCCTTCATGTTTTGGTCTCTAACTTGACAGCCCATGTGTGTTAGAATAGAACTGTGCTCCACAAGGTCTCCAGGCCTGTGTTCTTGGGAAGCAGAACCCTCCCTAGACCTTCCTTCTGAGCAAGCACCGGGAGTTCCCAATCTCCTCTTGGGTCTCCGCCTCGGCCCCTTGTGCAAGCTAACATGCACTAACTCACCAGGGGACTTCTGGAAGTCTCTTTGTCCTTCTTGTCTTTCTTCTCCTTCTTCTTCTTCTTCTCCTTCTTCTTGACGGCCCCAGTCGACAGCTTCCCCCGCTCTTGGATGACCAGATTCCGATAGTGCTCATCACAAGGATGGTCCCAGGTGGACTGCCCATTGGCAAAGTTGAAGTAGTAAATATCACCTGTGATGTCCTGGCTGCGGGTGGGAAGCAGAGGTCAGAAGTTAACACCTCAACCCCTCAGGACCAATAATGAGAGTAGCCATACCAGGAGGGGAAGGGGAAGGTGCGGGGAGAAAAAGGGGGAACCAATCACAATGATTGACATATAATCCCTTCCCGGGGGGACCGACAACAGAAAAGTGGGTGAAGGGAGACATCAGCCAGTGAAAGACATGAAAAAAAATAATAATTTATAAATTATCAAGGATTGATGAAGGAGGGGGTGGGGAGGGAGGGAGGGAGGGGAAAAAATGAAGAGCTGATACCAAGGGCTCAAGTAGAAAGAAAATGTTTTGCGAATGATGATGGCAACAGATGAACAAATGTGCTTGACACATGGATGGATGGATGGATTGTGATAAGAGCTGTACGAGCCCCCAATGAAAGGATGAAAATAAATAAATAATAAAATTAAAATTTTTTAAGAAGTTAACACCTGCTCAGGTCAAAAGTACTAGGAAAAAGAAGAGGGAAAAAAGAGAAAAAGGCAAGGAAAGAGAAGAAGGTAGAAGAAGAAAAGTTAAGAGGGGAGACAATACAGAAAAAGATTCAATAGACGGGTACCACTTGGCTAAGGAAAGAGAATTAGATTAGATAAAGGAGCAAGTGACCGGGATACCTAAGGACTACACTAGAGGGAAACATATAATCATTGGGGTTATCTACCCATGCTAAAGTAGATCAGAAATAACCTTCATTGTATTTAGGTGGAGAACTATAAACATTATAGTACCTTAAGGATAGTGTTAAGGACAGACCTTAATATTCTTATAAGGAGCCCTGGTGGTGTAGTGGTTATGCATTGGGCTGCCATCTGCATGGTTGGCAGTTCAAAACCACCAGTCACTCCTCTGGAGAAAGACAGGGCTTTCTACTCCCTTAAAGAGTTACAGTCTCAAACCCACAGCAGGTCACCATGAGTCGGCATTAACTCGATGGCAGTGAGAGTTGAAAAGGAAGAAAAATTCATTGCCAAAGCTCTAGGTTTGCAGAAGAATCTAAACTCCTAAGAGGTGACAACTCTAGGTGGTAAAAATAATGTAGAAGGTGTGTTTTGTTAGTTTGTGTTTCAACTTGGACAAGTCCAAGGTAAACCATCCATCCTATCCACCATCAAGATCCAGAACAGCTAACAAAGAAAAGAACATACCCAGGCACAAACCCAAAATGTCTAAGAATTTCATAAAGCTTTACTGGAAAGTGAGGCAAAAAGGAAACGCAATTGGAGAGACAGATCACATGCCCAAATGGAACAACTCAAGTCTATAAGGGTATCAATACAATCTCAGTAAAGTTCTAACTAGGTCCTTGTAAACGTGGATGATACCGAGCTGCCGTTTTTAAACATTCTGATCAAAGAATCTATAGAATAATCGTGATCAAAGTGTGGGAAATGCAGAAGAGAATTTCAAATTATTACAGAGCCCAGACTTTCTAGCCATGGAGGCTAGATGACCCCTTGAAACTATTCCCCTGAGATAATCGTTAAACTTTGAACCTAAAGTTAAAAATATCCCCTCAAGTCTTCTTAAAACCAAACAACAGTTTAGCTTAACTGGTAAAGGAAGTCTGCTCTCCTAAGATCTATCTATCTGGGAGAAAATTAAAAACAGCACCTCAAATGACTGATGGGAATCGTAGGGGGCAGTAAGCTTATGTTAATGGGGCAAGAACACATCAGAAAAGGAAAGGAAGACTGGCTGCACAAGTGGAAGAAGGTGCCGTAGTTTTATTCAAATTATGTGTGTAATCTGTTTTTCTTCCAGCCTCGTCCTCCCTGGCTCCCTGGAAGGTATTTTTGTAAACGTGCTATGTCGATATTTTAAAAATACGTTGCTGTAAAACACTAGATAGTGCATTTATGAAAAGACCTCATGAGAGGGGACTGCAGGTGAGCTCCCCCAAAAGTGCGTTAAAAAACTGTGCTCATTATCTGTGTAAGAATACCATGATCAGTGCCCCTGAGTGACACACACAGAGGTTGTTGGGTTGGTGTCTGTTCTGCTGTGTGTACTCGCGACAACAAAACAAACGGCAATGATACCAAAGTAAATCAAAAAAATCTTGACAGTGGGGTACTTTCAAAATTATGAGACAAATCGATTAACAGAATAAGACCCACAGAGCCTAGAAACAACCCATTTATGTGTAAGACTGTGCTTTAGAGGAAAGGTGGCATTTCGGATCAGTAAGGGAAAAGGAGCTATTCATTCCATAGGTGGCACCGAGGTGAAAGACTACACATTGAGACGCCCGTACAATGGCATTCACCAACATAAGTTCCAGATGAATGAGCTTAACATTAAAAAGCAAACTACGATAAGAAGAAAATGCAGGGTGATAACTTCATAAACAAAGTAAGCCGTCCAATCAAACGCAGTGCCATCAAGTGGATTCCAACTCTGAGAAACCCTAAGGGCAGAGTCAAACTGTTCCCGTGGGGTTTCTAATGTGCAAATCTTAATGGAGGCAGACTGCCACACCACCGCCCCACGGAGCACCTCGTAGCTTCGAACCACCAACCTTGCTGTTAGCATCTGAGCATTGAACCACGTGCCACTAAACTACTAAAGCCACAGAGTGAAAAGAACCAAAAAAAAAACGATTAGTGAAGAATTCTACATTTTGGTATGAAGAAAGAAACCATAGACAAAATTAAAAGTTATGCAGGTGGGATAAAATAGCAAAATAGTAGAAAGCAAATGTTCTGAGAATGATGGCAACAAATGTACAAATGTGCTTGACACAATGGATGGATGGATGGATTGTGATAAGAATTGTACGAGCCCCCAATAAAATGATAAAAAGAAAAAATGGCAAAAATAGTAGTACTAAAAGTAATATCCAAAATAATTAGAGTTCACCACCTTAAAAACGAAAAGTAAAAAGTAGATAATCTAATAGATAAAATGGCAAGAGATTAAAAAAAATAAAGTAAAGCACATAATAATCTTAAACATGAACCCCCATCCAGATTACAGTTTTTACAAAATTAAGTAAATCACAGAAGAGACACAAACAGCCAATAGAGGGACAACTCAATTTTGTCATTTGGAAACTGCAAGTGGAAACATCTGGCATGCTGGCTGCCCTGGGACTGACAAATTTTGTTGTGATAGACAACTTTTCGACTGATAACATCTAAAATGAGTAGTCATCTATAATGCTGGTAGAGCTGCTAGGTTTTAGCAGGAAGTACTTTGGCCCTATGGAGATTTAAATCCTGCACATCCTCTCACGCAGACTCTTCTCGAGGGCCGGCCAGGTTTTGCCTGCATTCAGTCGTCTCTCACGCTCTTCCTTTTCTTCTCTTGACTGCCACTCTGATCTTTATTACCTTCTTCTTCTGTTTATTTTAGATTGAATTTGTTCGTGTGTTTCTAGTTTCTGAGAGGGTCGGTGCTTTCACAGCTGGAGCTATAGAACAAGAGTTGATACTGGGAGGGAACCTGCTTCCTATATATTCTGTAAATTTGCCTGGACAATCTTGTTCCTTTACGCTTTCCTAAGAAATTTAGTTTCTCAAAGTTTTCCAAGTCTTTTTTATGCTTAAATTATCTCCTTCAATTTTCTGTATACTACTGTATTTTAAATATAGCATCGCCTTGGTTACCCTGATTCCAGAGTGCCCTGTAATCTTTTGTTGCCATTTCAAATGGGGTCTTTAAAAATGGCTCTGGTCCTTCTAATTGACTGTTGATGCAGGGGCACCGCTGCTTTGCATGACTGACTTTCATTATTCTTCTTGTGCATCCAGCTGCTGTGCTGAATAAGCCATTATGTTAAGGATTTATAACGTCTTACTTATTCAATCCATAGCTTAGCAAATAATCCAGGAAGCGAGATTATATAAAGAACACGGAAGACGACTCATTAACGACTCATTAATAGGGAGATGACACAGCCTTGTGTACTGAAAAGGATGCGGACTTGAAACACTTTCTGGCGAAGATCAAACACTACAACCTTCAGTACGTCTTATATTTCAGCATAAAGAAGAGGGAAAAAATTCTCACCACTGGACCAAAGATTGAAGTTGTCAAGGACTTCGTGTTACATGGATCCATAATGAACATCATGGAAGAAGCAGTCCAAGAAATGATATGATATAGTGCACTGGGCAGACTTGCTGCAATAGAAGTCTTTAGCGTTTAAAGAAATAAGATGTTACCAAGCAATGGTATTTTCAGGTGGCTCGTGTACAGAGAGAAGTGGGAGGCCTGTGTGTTGGGGAGAAGGAAGAATGTGCCACGGACTGCCATGGACTGCCAGAAGAACAGACAGAGCTCTGTGGGAAGAAATGCAGCCAGAATGCTCCTGAGAATCAAGGATCGAGAGACTTTTGTTTCATGGACTCTGGACATGTGATCAAGAGGGGCCAGACCTTAAAGAAGGACATCACGCTGGGCAAAGCGGAGGATCAGGGGAAAAGAAGAAAGCCCCCGAGGCCCGGGAAGAGCACCGTGGCTGCACCCATGTCCTCCAACATGGCAGTGACCGTGCAGACGGTGCAGTCAGACGGGGTTCGTTCTGCGGTACAAACGTTCACGAGCCGTCAGAGCCCACTCCGCAGCACCAACAACACAGCTCTTAGAGGTTCTAGTAGACAGAAGCTGCATGGAGTCTGAAAATGAGGTGGATTCAATATAGCTCTTCCTTATTTACTTTTGGTAACTTTTTTTTTCTTTCAGGAAACTGTCCATTTGAACTAAGTTTCCATCTTCAATTCATAAATTTCTTTTATGGTTTCAGAATCCCTGCTAGATCTTTGATAATGTCCTCCTTCTATACAGCTTTTCTTTTTCCTTAATATTGCAGTAGCTTGCTTATTTAATTTTCTTTAAAAAAAAAGGATTCAGTGATTACGCCTTGGGCTGCTAGCCACAAGGTCGTGTGCAGAACCACCAGCTGCTCTGAGAGAGGAAGCCGAGGCTTTGCACGCCCGTACAGAGTGGCGTCTCAGACACCGACAGAC